CTTTCTCTCCTCTTTCTCTCCCCTTTCTCACTCTTTCTCACTCTCTCTCTCCTCTTTCTCACTCTCTCTCTCCTCTTTCTCACTCTCTCTCCTCTCTCTCTCCCCTTTCTCACTCTTTCTCACTCTTTCTCTCTCTCTCTCTCTCTCTCGCTCACATGCTAAACTGTCATGCCGTCCAAGTTATATAATCACCTATCTGCACATGTCTTATTTTTGGCCTTGGTCAGTGCTCAACAATCCATGGCTCCGGAGCCATGCATGCCTTTTCCCATTTAAATTATGACATTTAAATAATCCGCCCCATTCTGTGGCTCTCAAAATGTTTTCTTAGCAGATAATTTTTAAAAATGGCTCCTCGCTCAAAATATGTTTTCCGACCACTGGCTAGTGTTGCATATTTTTATAAAGTAGTCTATTTGGATGAAAGACTTTTTGTATTATTTTAAAGAATTAGATTTTTTTTTCTTAGGTCTCCCGTAGCGAGCCTAATCTAAGGACTATTTATAGAAATATGTATTTTTAAAATATGCCGTCACGATTGCCTATCAGAATATGTGTCGATTTTTTTCCCCATTGCACCAGGCCTTGACCGTGATTTAAACCTCGCACTTTTCCCATGCAAAGTTACATTCATCAACTTAATCTTGGACATGAACTTTTAAATAAGACTCGTTGTGTATATTTTTTTTCAAAGAGCTACATTTGAAGAAAGAATCAATGACTTAAAAAAAATAAAAAATAAATAACAATTCATTGTTTGCCAGGGTTCACTACCTGAACTCAGATGAATGACCATGAATGGCCATTCAGCGAGTCATGTCTAGATCTCATTGATTTAAATCTCCTGAATGTCCCACTTCTCACAATCATAGTGCTTTCTGTGTGAAATCCCGTCGTGTCCGTCCATCCGTCCGCTCATAATTATTGTGCGAGTCCAAGACATGTACAAGAATACTTGACTTCAAGGCTTGATATTCTCCTTCATGTATGCGTGTATCTTTACTACATGTGTCATTGTTCTTGAATGAATTTTTCTTGCGTTCCGTCGGGTATTCACCGAGACACAACTTACACATCATTAGTCAGAAGATGGACGCACCACGGTTGCGGCCCTTCGCCGGGGACGTAAGGCGCTGCTACTGAACTCCCTCCCAAATATGTGTCGTCTCTTACAAAATGGATAAGGCCCTGGAAGTCAATTTTCCCCCAGACTGTTCTCAAAACGTCTTATGTTTGCCAATTTGACACCCCGTGCTAATCATCTTTATGTCAATCTCAACATATTATCCTTTTCCGAGACAATACAATTGAAAATAACCTCGCAGTTAATAGAGCTTAGACCGCAACCAGGAAATATTCTGGTTTTTAATTCAAACATCCCACATCCCATTTGATTCTAGTACACCAAGGCTTTTCTGAATATTTTTTTTCTTTCTAAATGCCTCCTTTACACTCACTTCTCGTCTACGTATTTAACCGACGAGTAAAATGTTTAGGTTCAAAGCAAAGCTTACTTTCAAAACTATATTTATGGGGCATCACAGCAATAGTCTAAATACGAAACTAACAATGAAAAGAAAACACGAGAACACGGAGACAACTCAAGTGTTGACCTTGTTGTTGATTTCGTTCATCACAAGATGAAATACGTGTGTGCACAATACCAAGATAAGACCTTCCAGATGAGAACGCCTCATTTAAAAAATACAATTTACTAATCCATTCACAAAGGTTTCACAAAGACCCCCCAAACAAACTTGTAAGTATTTGATTTAAAGATAAGCAGTGCCGAGTAAAGTGATCAATGATCCGTCAGCACTACCATGACTCGAAATGACGGGGGGCTATATTTGTTTATGTGTGTAATTAAATCAAAGACATTACAGATAACACTTCATGTAACCTAGTTGTATGGAGGGACCAAAAAACAACGCTTTACCATTACATTAACATGATGACTCTGTCAATGTCTCAATAAGGGCTTGATAACTCGGTCAAGGTGTCATAAAAGGAATGATGAAACTGTCAAGGTCTCATTAAGGGCATGATGACTCTGTCAAGGTGTCAATAAGGGCATGATGACTCTGTCAAGGTGTCAATAAGGGCATGATGACTCTGTCAATGTGTCAATAAGGGCATGATGACTCTGTCAAGGTGTCACTAAGGGCATGATGACTCTGTCAAGGTGGGACAATGACAGTGTGTAGGGTGAACTTGTTGTCCTCGTGAGTTTTGAGTATAGGTCGAAATTTGTATGTCTAATTGTCTTAGGTAAAGTTGTTAGACGAAATCCAGACTTCCAGTCTTAGGTATTTCAACCTACAACTACAACCGGTTGTTGATTTTTAAAACAGTTTACAAAATACATGTGTGTGTGTGTGTGTCTATATATATATATATATATATAAATATATATATATATATACCCTCACTCTTTATTCTGTATAAAACGATACCCTAACTCTGCATCTAACGATACCCTTACTCTATATCTAACGATACCCTCACCCTGTATATAACGATACCCTCACTCTGTCATCTGACCATGACCCAATAATCTAACTATATCCTCAATCTGTATCGATATCAGCTGACCGATGTTAAAAACAGGTTGTGACTGGATTTATTTAAATGGTAAGGGGTGTTGGGGGGGGGGGCGCAGAGAGAGAGAGAGACAGTGATCTCGTTATTACAGGAGCGTTTATTGAGCGATAGATATAACCAAGTTGGCAGATCGCATCTCTTCTATCATTTTACCCCCCCGTGTTAATAATAACTCAAAACAGTGGTTCTTAACCTTGTTCGAGGTACTGAACCCCACCAGTTTCATAGGCGCATTCACCGAACCCTTTTTAGTAGGAAAAAAAAATAAAAAAAATTTCCTGATTTTTTTGGGACCTCCGCCGAACCCCTGAGACTGGCTCACCGAACCCCTGGGGTTCGATCGAACCCCGATTACGAACAACTGAACTAAAAGGAATGGGTTCCCGACGGGAACATATTAATGGATAAATGACCATTGCTTTGACATTGGTGAATGTTTCGGGGTTTTTTTTTTTTTGCCTTATAAAAGTTGTAGTTGTCTTTAAATCTTGTTTGTAGCTGGCCAAAGATTGAATTTTAACTGAAAATTGGAGGGTCAAAAATTCAATGTTTACAAGAGTTACTGATTTATTTATTTTTTTATTTTATATTAGAAAAATATTCATTTTAATTGGTACTTTAGCGGACTGTTTTTTTGACAGGGTCTTTAACTTAGGTGTACTGTGATCAGTGGCGTAGCGAGGGTGTTTGGCGCCCGGGGACAAGATTCGCGCCCGGGGACAAGATCCATTTTTAGCGCCCCTTTTTCTTTTTTTCCACGCTCACACCCATTATTTTCATCAATAAAAATAATATCAAAGCACATTTTGGCGCCCCTAACTAGATGGCGCCCGGGAACATCTGTCCCCCCTGCCCCCACCACGCTACGCCTCTGACGGTGATAACGCTTTAGAAGTTTTTTTTTTTTTTATCTCAATAGAAACCCTAGAATAATAACAACCGAGTGTATCAGTGTATCGGCTAGTTACACAATTATATTGTGAACTTGTCGGATCTGCCTTCGTGGGAATAAAGAAGATATGTTTCTCTATGGTACACTTATTGGCGTTCTGTTGAAGAGAATAGTTCTGTTTGTAGACACTATAAGACCAGGCCTGCACAACTCAAAATGTAATCCTTGGCCGTAATACTTTATGAAAAACTTGTTCGTGTCGAAAGATAATAGGAAAAAAAAAGGTGGGTGGCGGAAGCTAGTAAGAAAATAATCTTAATAAAGATTACTTCGTTACTTCGTTACTTCGCGGGCCGCAAAGTGTTCACCGGCGGGCCGTCTGTTGTAGAGGCCTGCCTTAGACAACGACATTCAGAAACGCATGACATTGTGATGAAAGCTGCAGTCTGTTGGTCAAGATCGATGTGACCAAAACGTTTGCACGTTGGAATTGTTTATTTTGGATATCATAAGCAACTGAATGTATAGCGAATGGTCGATGCTTTAGAACGGCGTTTCCCAAAATGATGGGTTGCGACCCCGGTACCGGATCACAAAAGCAAAATTACCGGATCACCAAAATAAGTAATTAAAAAAAGTTTAAAAATCTAGGTTAGATTATTGGGACATATTATCAATAAATTTTGGTGAGTTTGATTTCTTTACAGTCTTGTATGAGTAAATGCTTTATTATTATATGGGGGAAACTGTCTGAACAATTATATCTGCTATTTATTGCATATAGTCTTGTGTAGGCGATACAAATTTTAATGGGTCGCGAAGGAGAAGTGTAACAGCGTCGCTGCTTTAGAATAAACAATAGACTTCTTTTTCGATTATCGCAAAGAAAAAAAAATGGTTGATCGTTCGATTCATTGCTAGTTTTTATTTCCTTTTTTCATTTAGAGTTAACAGTCATCGCCATTTCTTCAAGTTAAATCCAAGGACCTTGACAGAAGAACTGGAGCGACGATATCTCAGGACTAATTAAAAACAGTATCCATTGTTTCAATTTTTGGAGGTATGTGATGTCAACCGTCAGTTCTCTTTCCAACGCCACCATTCAGTAAGGTGAGAAGAGTATCAACGATATTTATATCTTGTTGGGTAATTTCTCTCTTTCCAACGCCACCTCCCAGTAGGGCGAGAAGAGTATCAATGATATTTATATCTTGTTGGGTAATTTCTCTCTTTCCAGCACCATAACCCAATATATGGAAAAGATTATCAACGATATTTATATCTTGTTGGGTAATTTCTCTCTTTCCAACGCCACCATTCAGTAAGGTGAGAAGAGTATCAACGATATTTATATCTTGTTGGGTAATTTCCCTCTTTCCAACGCCACCTCCCAGTAGGGTGAGAAGAGTATCAATGATATTTATATCTTGTTGGGTAATTTCTCTCTTTCCAACGCCACCTCCCAGTAAGGTGAGAAGAGTATCAATGATATTTATATCTTGTTGGGTAATTTCTCTCTTTCCAACGCCACCTCCCAGTAGGGTGAGAAGAGTATCAACGATATTTCTATCTTGTTGGGTAATTTCCCTCTTTCCAACGCCACCTCCCAGTAGGGTGAGAAGAGTATCAACGATATTTATATCTTGTTGGGTAATTTCCCTCTTTCCAACGCCACCTCCTAGTAGGGTGAGGAGAGTATCAACGATATTTATATCTTGTTGGGTAATTTCCCTCTTTCCAACGCCACCTCCCAGTAGGGTGAGAAGAGTATCAACGATATTTATATCTTGTTGGGTAATTTCCCTCTTTCCAACGCCACCTCCCAGTAGGGCGAGAAGAGTATCAACGATATTTATATCTTGTTGGGTAATTTCCCTCTTTCCAACGCCACCTCCCAGTAAGGCGAGAAGAGTATCAACGATATTTATATCTTGTTGGGTAATTTCCCTCTTTCCAACGCCACCTCCCAGTAGGGTGAGAAGAGTATCAACGATATTTATATCTTGTTGGGTAATTTCCCTCTTTCCAACGCCACCTCCCAGTAGGGTGAGAAGAGTATCAATGATATTTATATCTTGTTGGGTAATTTCCCTCTTTCCAACGCCACCTCCCAGTAGGGCGAGAAGAGTATCAACGATATTTATATCTTGTTGGGTAATTTCTCTCTTTCCAACGCCACCTCCCAGTAGGGTGAGAAGAGTATCAACGATATTTATATCTTGTTGGGTAATTTCTCTCTTTCCAGCACCATAACCCAATATATGGAAAAGATTATCAACGATATTTATATCTTGTTGGGTAATTTCCCTCTTTCCAACGCCACCTCCCAGTAGGGTGAGAAGAGTATCAACGATATTTATATCTTGTTGGGTAATTTCTCTCTTTCCAGCACCATAACCCAATATATGGAAAAGATTATCAACGATATTTATATCTTGTTGGGTAATATCTCTCTTTCCACCCAGGTGGCTGATGAGACCAACTAGGTCACTGACGAAATCATTGTCTTGAACTTTGAAATCTTTTAGCAGTTCAATTTGAGCCTGGAGAATGGAATACACAAATTTTAAAATACAATTACATTAGATATAAACTGAAATGATAAGTTTTGATTTAATTTGTCTGAAATCTTAGTAATTTACTTTTTAAAAATTAAAATCTAAACTCTTGAAAGGGCAAATGGAATATTACATGACCCTGTCGAAATGTGTCATTGCAATATAAAACTATTAATATTAAGGTGATCATTTTATCATTTAAATCCAGGGTTATTTAAAAAACATTTTCGCCGAGATTGTCAAAAAATATTTAAGTATGTTTACGCGGAGAACTCTTCGTGGATGTCAGTTTGGATGAATGATATTTGATTAGTAGTTTCATATATTAAATTTATACCTGTATCCTAACTGTAGTAATCCGATGTTGTTAGTCATAAATGGATATATTTCGGTTATTATGAAGGATGTTGTGGTATTTGGTTTTTTATATAGATTTGTTCCGGGGGAATTGGTTAAGATGAAAGAAACACATTTGGGGCCATGGGAAATGACTGGATCCAGAGTTCCGTGTGGTCCAAGGAAAGTTTTTGGGATGTGAAAAGGTTTAATGCGATATGTTAAATATACTAAATTTGTTTACTTATTGTATAGATGTTGCTATGTGTTTTGGATTGGTGACTTTTCTTTTTTTGGTATAAGAGATGGTTTAGATTGTTATGGACCAGGAATTAGGATGAAGACATTCTTCGTATAATAATAGGAAATGAGACTGAACATATGTGGCGCAGTGGTTTGTGAATGAGTGCAACTTTGTCCGTAGGAGGTTGTGAATATGTTCACGCATTTGAGCGTTATTATTTTATTTGTCGGTTATTGTTTTTGGTTATCTAGCATTTTTTGTGATATTTGTCAGTTTTGATTTACGAATGAGTTGCAAATTAACGTGCTGCGTTAGCTGTAAGAACATAATATTACAAGTAGCATTTTAAAACCTTTGAGCTTGAGGTGGATGGACAAGTTGCGGAAAATTCCACAGAACTGAATTAAAGTTGGCCAGTTTTTGAACGTTTTTTCTGGTGATGTATTACTGTTTGAGCCATTGAAAACTTAAATTTTTTACAAGGCAATCCCATGGGTAATAATTTTAAAAAAATTGAGCATTTTGACAAACATGCAAAAAACGAGAGGTGTTTTGAATACGGTAGAAAGGTGATCAAGTTTGCTCTTGGTTGATTTTCATGTTTTTTTGACTTTTGAAATGTGATTGTGATCATTGTAAAATGATCTTTGTTTAATGAATTACGCTTAAAAAAAACAAACAGGAACAATTTCAGTTAATTGGAAAACTGTTCACTATGTTGCCGCGTGGCTGAACTATGATGTACACGATACCTTGGAACGTGTTGCCCTGTAGTTGGCTTATACAGTAGAAATTGATTTTATGGAAACGGAAATAAATGTGAATGTTGATGAAGAACAATTGAACAGATGTATTAGGCAAACTGAAATAACGACAACGGATGAAAATGCAATGCTAGTTGAGATTAATGGTTTTGCGTGAATGTTCTGGGATACTCCATCAAGCTAGAAGACAATATTTTATCCGGGGTTTCTTGAAAAATCGGAGCGAAGTTGTTATTCTGATATTTATTTAATTAAAACTTCCACAAAAATGTGTTTCCTTTTTTTTTTTTTTTTTTTATGTGTTCAAATTTTTTGATGAGACTTTAAGAAGAGTTTTGTTATGCGCAATGTGAATGTTTTTATGGTTGCTTGCACGAGAGTTTAGCTTTTCATGGAAAAAATGAATGGAGTAAATGCAAAAAAAGAATGTTAACAATTTTTGCACAAAACAAATTTTTAGGGTGGAAGGGGGGGTTCCTTTTAGTTTATTTTATTTAAAAAAAAAAAAAAAAACGTCCAGCATTAAACTAATTTTATTATTAAAGGGAGAAATTGAGCTCTGTTTAAAAAAAGGTGGGAGGGGGGCGGAGGTATACATTTTCAAATAAAAAGTGTACATGACTGGTCGAAAGTTGTGAGGGAACATTGAAATGGGTGTATTTGTATATATATATATTATATAACTATATTGGTTATGACTGACTGTTTAGATTTAGGATGAAAGTTGAAGAGCTCATGATATAAGGTGACTGAAGTTGTGGATAATTATACATCCCTGCATGATGAGTTGGCATTAGGCAACAAATTAGTAAAAACCAGTTGGATTCTGTTGATGATGTGACGTTAAGTGTGTTCCTTCATATCGTTTCCGTCTGCGGTACAGAAACGCGTCCAGATTGTTAGTGCTTGAGATGCTTATTGCGTCCGCAGCAGAGGAAGAGAAAACAAAGACTGCTGGACTTGGCCTCTTCTATTTCACAGACACCATAATTTTTTAAATTTTTTTTAGTGAGAATGTTCTAAATATCGAGATGGGTCAATACTAGTCGCCCAACCCCACACCCCCTTGCCCCCCCCCACGTAGGGTGACACACGCTCACTAAATGTACACTCTAGTACTCACCCCAATGGGGATCAGTGGCAATGCCGAGATGGAGCCAACGACGAGCAAGACGAGGAATGTTGGGGCATTCATCTTTAGCTTCTTGTGTTTCTGGAGTGGAATAACAATCCAAGCATTAAAGTACTATAAATATATTTTTTGTAAAAAAAAAGTAACAAATATATGTACACTTCAACAAATGACTAGGACTAGTAAAGATAACCTTTACTCCTGATTAGAGTTGGCCTTCCGTAAACTGTTTTTGTTGCAAGGGCTTTGTGTTGTGCAGCTTCTGCCTTTTTTGACTCCTTCATACACTGCTGGTTGCCACCTGGAACGTTGCTCAGCGATGATCTCCCGTGCGTTGATTTCTATGTTTGCTTCCCTCATGCTCCTTTTGCAAACATCCTTAAATCACAGCCGTGGCCGTCCAATATGTCTTGCCTCTTCTGCCAAATCTCTATACAACAGATCCTTTGGGATACGGCCTTCCTCCATTCTCCTCATATGGCCTAACCAGCGAAGGCGCCTCTTGCTAAGAGCGGAGAATATGCTAAACATTTTTACACGTTCCAAGACCTCTTTGCTAGGCACCTTGTCCTACCATCGAATGCGTAAAATGCAACGCAGGCATCTTTGATGGAAGCTGTTGAGTTTCTGCTCAAGACTGGCCAATGTGGTCCAACCTTCACTGCCATATAGGAGCGTGCTAAGCACATATGCCTGACAGGCGCTTAGTTTTGTATTTTCAGTTATAGTTCAAGATTATTCCACACCGATTATTCAATTTAGCCAAAGTTGCTGCTGCTTTTGCGATCCTGATGTTCACCTCTTCGTCAAAAGTGAGAAAACTAGAAATATTGTAACCCAAGGTATATGAAATGCTCAACTACTGACAAATTATGGCCCTCAATAGATATGACTGGAGGGGACGGTGCTTCTTGCATCATGACATTTGTTTCATGTAGACTATAATTGACAGTACAAACTCTTTACATGCGTAAAAGAAGACCTTCTTCTGTGTGCGACGCCATCGTGGCATATTCAGAGAACAGCAGTTAACGCATTTTTTTTTTTACCTTGGTCTGTGCACGAAGGCGAGCGATATCGAACAGCCTACCATCAGATCTGATATGGATGTACACTCCATTCTTACATCTATTGTGTTAATATCTTTAAAGCATACCCATATATTACGTTGGCCAAAAAAGGCAGATTTGTAATAGCTCCCCTCCTGTTCCATTGGTACACTTTTGGACATCCCCACCACCACAAGTCTTCTTCTCCTTCTTCTTCTTTATTTTGAGGGCCCACGATCAATGAATTGATCATTCTGGCTCATATGTTTCAGAGGGGTTTGCGATGTTACTGTGCATGGGTTTCAATGGGATGCTTCACTGGTTGCAAGGGCGACTCAGCAGTGGTGCTATGAACTGGGGGTTGGAATACAGGAGGCAATAGACACAAATGTGTCGAGTGTAGACGCCTCAACTGTTGCTTTCGGAAGCTTGTTCCAGTCCCTTATTGTCTTCGGCAGGAATGAGGAGCTCCTGTACTTGGTTCTTGTTTTTACCAGCCGGAACTGTCTGTCGTGGCTTCGTCGCAGTCTAAGGGGAAGATGAACGAGTTTCTGTTTGAGCAGTGGACCAACCCATTTTTTATCTTGTACAACATGGTGAGCCTGGATAGTCGTCGTCGTTCTTCCAATGTTGACCAGCCTAGTGTTTCTAGCATGTTGCCAACACTTGAGGTGTTTCTGTAGCGGTTCATGACAAAGCGGCTGCCCGTCGCTGGACCGCCTCCAACCTGTCGATGCTTTTCTGGGTAAATGGGTCCCAGACTGTAGAAGCGTACTCTAAAATAGGCCGGACAAAGGCTTTATAGGCCAAGTGTAAGTACAAACAAGAATGATCTAGTTCGTACTTAGGCCGGGTCCTTGACATTGGCCGCCCCTATTTAACGACTGCAGACGGAATACACAAACTATGAGCTATTTAAAGTGTACGACCTGAACCAAGAATATGGGGCCCCTACAAAAGTGCCACCCCTGAAGGATGGATCCCCCCTCCCTTTCCAACCCGCCCCATCCTCTTCCTACGCCTGAGTCTACCGTGACTGTAGATTAATATTATCCTTTTCTGTATTAGCAAACGTCGCAACTCACCTCAATACTGTGAAGCAGACTTGCACATATAAGAATAACTCGAACTCCACCCTCGCAGCTCTATATACCCTAGAGGTCTGAGGTCATGGTTGTTTATTAAAACTGTTAACTTTAACAACAATTGGAGAGATAAAGAATTTTTTTTTTTTTTTTTTTTTTTTTTAAGCATCACGATTTTAGACACCTGGTATGCCAAACTTTTTCTCACATTTTTTTTTGGTTTTATTTTTTTTTTTTTTTTTTTTTTGTATGTGTTCAAATTTTTTGATGAGACTTTAAGAAGAGTTTTGTTATGCGCAATGTGAATGTTTTTATGGTTGCTTGCACGAGAGTTTAGCTATTCAATGTAAATGTTAAGTAGTGGAAAAAATGATGGCAGTAAATGCAAAAAAGGAATGTTACCAATTTATGCACAGAACAAATTTGTAGGCTGGACGGCGGGGATCCTTCTAGTTTATTATATTTAGAAAAAAAAAAAAAAAGGGCCAGCATTAAAATAATTTTATTATTAAAGGGAGAAATATAGCTCTGTTTAAAAAAATTTTTTTTTTTTGTTTTTTTTTTTTTTTTTTTTTTTTTAATAATTTTTTTTAGTATTTTTTTTTGTGAGTTTTTGAAGGTATTGGGGGGGGGGGGGGGGGGGTAAATCAAGTTTGTATTTTCATTCAAGATTTAAAAAAAAAAAAATCTGTAGGATCATGACCATAAACATTTTTTTTAGATGTTCAATCTTTTCTGTAATAAATCTATGTACACTTCAACAAATGGCTGACTAGGACTAGTAAAGAGAACCTTTACTCCTGGATTAGAGTTGGCCTTCCGTAATGCTGTTTTTGTTGCAAGGGCTTTGTGTTGTGCTCATCCTCTGACTTTTTTGACTCCTTCATGCAATGATGGTCGCCAGCCGGAACGTTCTTCAGCGAAGATCTCCCATTCGTTGATTTCTATGTTGGCTTCCCTTATGCCGCTTCAGCAAACGTCCTTAAATCACAGCCGCGGCCGTCCGATAAGTCTTGCCCCTTCTGCCAACTCTCCCAATAAGTCTTGCCTCTTCTGCCAACTCTCCCAATAAATCTTGCCTCTTCTGCCAACTCTCCCAATAAGTCTTGCCTCTTCTGCCAACTCTCCCAATAAGTCTTGCCTCTTCTGCCAACTCTCCCAATAAGTCTTGTCTCTTCTGCCAACTCTCCCAATAAGTCTTGCCTCTTCTGCCAACTCTCCCAATAAGTCTTGCCTCTTCTGCCAACTCTCCCAATAAGTCTTGCCTCTTCTGCCAACTCTCCCAATAAGTCTTGCCTCTTCTGCCAACTCTCCCAATAAGTCTTGCCTCTTCTGCCAACTCTCCCAATAAGTCTTGCCTCTTCTGCCAACTCTCCCAATAAGTCTTGCCTCTTCTGCCAACTCTCCCAATAAGTCTTGCCTCTTCTGCCAACTCTCCCAATAAGTCTTGCCTCTTCTGCCAACTCTCCCAATAAGTCTTGCCTCTTCTGCCAACTCTCCCAATAAGTCTTGCCTCTTCTGCCAACTCTCCCAATAAGTCTTGCCTCTTCTGCCAACTCTCCCAATAAGTCTTGCCTCTTCTGCCAACTCTCCCAATAAGTCTTGCCTCTTCTGCCAACTCTCCCAATAAGTCTTGCCTCTTCTGCCAACTCTCCCAATAAGTCTTGCCTCTTCTGCCAACTCTCCCAATAAGTCTTGCCTCTTCTGCCAACTCTCCCAATAAGTCTTGCCTCTTCTGCCAACTCTCCCAATAAGTCTTGCCTCTTCTGCCAACTCTCCCAATAAGTCTTGCCTCTTCTGCCAACTCTCCCAATAAGTCTTGCCTCTTCTGCCAACTCTCCCAATAAGTCTTGCCTCTTCTGCCAACTCTCCCAATAAGTCTTGCCTCTTCTGCCAACTCTCCCAATAAGTCTTGCCTCTTCTGCCAACTCTCCCAATAAGTCTTGCCTCTTCTGCCAACTCTCCCAATAAGTCTTGCCTCTTCTGCCAACTCTCCCAATAAGTCTTGCCTCTTCTGCCAACTCTCCCAATAAGTCTTGCCTCTTCTGCCAACTCTCCCAATAAGTCTTGCCTCTTCTGCCAACTCTCCCAATAAGTCTTGCCTCTTCTGCCAACTCTCCCAATAAGTCTTGCCTCTTCTGCCAACTCTCCCAATAAGTCTTGCCTCTTCTGCCAACTCTCCCAATAAGTCTTGCCTCTTCTGCCNTGGATGGATGGATGGATGGATGGATGGATGGATGGATGGATGGATGGATGGATGGATGGATGGATGGATGGATGGATGGATGGATGGATGGATGGATGGATGGATGGATGGATGGATGGATGGATATGACTATGGTTGGATCTTCGTTCAATTAGTTTATTTTTTATTTGTTCGAATTCTCAATCAGGCCCTTATATTTTTTCTTAGAATTTTCTTCTATTCCCCAGGTTTTGAGAAGACTTTCAGCTATCTTGGCGAGGGTCCGTATCTCAGCTACGTAGTAGCATAGTTGGCATTTATGATCGCAAAGCGAGCATTGTTGTACACCTTGTGACCTGCATCAGAGACGCCGTCCGTAAGCCGCTAATACGTCTGGTATAAGCCTAGTCAACAAATTGAATCTAGGTTGGCGTAGGGCAGCTGTCGGTAACCTGTGGCTCCGGAGCAGAATCCAACTCTTTGAATGAATGCATCCATGCAGCTCTTTTCATTTTAAAACTTCTTTTTTTTAAAAATTTACTAATATACAGTTACATTTGAACAATCCGCCCCTGCCTGTGACTCCCAAAAAATATTTTCTTTGCTTATAACATTTATAAAATGGCTCTTCACCCAAACGTTTTTCGCCCCCCCCCCCTGACCTAAGGTTTCCATTATTTATACAAAGCGAGCCTTTCGAGCGACACCTTTGACCCCTATATATATTCTAATGCAATATTTATCATCGTAGAATCACATGTGGCTTATAGTACATATGTATGGATTAAGTTATACTTTATACACTGTTAGACTCTAGTTCAAGGTCGGAAACCTTATCTGAGTGAAGAGTGATTTAAAAAATCAAACTTGCTTAGAAAATATTTTTTGAGCCGCAAGCAGGGAAGGGGGGGGGCGGATTTGGAGAGTGAATGTGCACTCGAAACATGGCGTAATATTTCACTTGTGATGCTTTAAATTTAGATAAAAATCATAACAGACGCTATCATTAAATTATTTATTCCCCCTCTCTATAAAACAAAAATCGAATCGTTAGAAATGAAAAAAAAAAAGATGCATTAATCCAAAGAAAGATTAGGAGGCCTCGTGCCGGCTGGCTTGTTCCCAAGCATGGGAACCGATTTCTCCCGATTCATTTCTGCTTTGCATTAACCATTTATTTTACTTGGGTTTATTTCAGGTTGGCGTCCTTCCTGTATGTTTGTGTTGGCCCAGCGGCGTAGCTAGAATTGGTGCCGCCTGGGGCGGGTTAACGCTTTTTCTTCATGTAAAAACTCTACGTTTGGTCGACAATGCCGACCCTCAATATATAAAAGGAAAAAAAAATTGCCCTCTGGGTGGATCGCCCCCTCCACATCCCCTTCCTGCCCGGTGTCTGTGTGTTAATAGTTTTTCGACCGTACCGATTTCTTTAACCTTTTTTTTTTTTTTAAAAAAGCTTTTGTATCTTCTTTGACCTTACTATGATGTAAATTTTGGAATTTATTGTTCCATCACATGGTATAAAAAGTCAACTCATCAAGTTCCAAATACACACACAAACAAAAAATTTAGGCCTAATCCGCTTAAATCAGCGGTTCCCAACCTGGGGGTCGCACGACCC